TTCTCTAAAAATGTTGTATGTCATTTGCTCAAAAATAGTCTGGTATCTGTGTGAATATGCTTTCTTTCTTTTTCTAAAATATTGATTTTTGAAAATGATGGGGTTTTACACTCGTGTATTTTTCTCTTGAAAATCAATTCCTATTTTTCTCYGTAAAACGTCTCTGTGTGATTTCCTTAAAAATTAGCATTTTTTAAAAATTTATTTTATGTTTGAAAAACAAAAAGAAGCAAAAAGATAAAAAGTTTTATTTTATAATTGTATGTAGTGGTTTTATGTTTTGTAAGTATTTTTCTTGGTTTGTTTGTAATATGTGGGCCTCATCTTTGTAAGTATTTTTTTTTAATTTATTTCATGTCAGTATCTTTTTAAAATTTATTTTATGTTTAAAAAAAAGGGACAAAGAGACAAAGTTTTTCTTTTATGTTTGTATTTTTTATTATTTTTGTAGAGTTTATCGTTGGTTTTTATTAATACCTAGTATATGGGCCTCTTCTCTTTTGGGCCGAACCTCAATCCATCGGTGACCCGCCTCACGCAGGCGTCGATGATACAGACACCGAGCCTCTCGCCGGTGTTGGTGATACAGACACTGAGCCTCTCGCCAGTGTTGCTGATACAGATATTGAGCCTCACGCCGATATCATTGATACAGATGTTGAGCCTCACGCCAACATCAATGATACTCCCATCGGTGACTCTCAGGGCGCCGATGGTACTGCGAGTGTTGGTGTTTCTTCTCTAGGTGGGTCAGCAAGCCCAGGCAAAGCTTGCTCTCCTACTCCAGCTGCTATTTCTCCCTCCAGGCCCCCCTCTGCACCAGGCTTCCAGTTCTCAGCTCCTTCTCCTCCTGAGGTGATCTATGCCATAGCCACTGAGGTGGTGGACATGTTCAGAGGCTTCACATCTCAGTGTCAGTTGCTCATCTCTCAACAGGCCTCCATCAGCACTGATTATCTGGCAGATTGGACTGTGTTACATCTGAACTGCATCAACACAGTGCCACCTTGACAGATCATGGCATTGCCTTCTCTGCTATGAGAGCTACGGTTGATTCTCTTGATGCTCGCATGACTGCTCTCTCCGATTCTCAGGCTAGTATCTCTGAAGCTGTAGCTGATCTTAGTGCTCGATCGGAAAGTCAAGCTGCCACAAATCAGGCAATTCTTCAATCTCTGACTGATCTTCACTCCAAGATGGATGCAAAGACTCAGATATCCAAATTGTTCTTAGCCAGAGATACAGAGTTCACTGTTGACTTGGGTCCTACTCAGTTCACAGAAGAGGACAGGGTTATGTTAGCCAAAGTCAGTTGCCGTGTTGAGTCCGATTATGCTCTTCTTGGCGGTCTTCATCGCGGTATCTCACGTCTGCTTCGTGCCACATGTGCTCCCTTTCCTCGTGCTACTGCCTCTGTGCCTTCCCCACCTGCCAATGTGGATGGTCCTTCTGTTCCTGCTAGTGGACCTTCCCCTGTTCCCACTGAGGGGGAGAAGACAGTTGATCCTGCTACCAGTGACAACGGGGACGACGACTCAGCTTCTACTTTTTCTACCTCTTATCCTCAGCTGAGTCAGACTGTGATGCTCCTACTGAGGGGGAGCTATTTGATCATGATAATAAAGTCGCGGTACCTGTTGAGGGGGAGCAACCATGTTCTATGCCTTTAGTATCTGTTGAGGTTGGTACTATCCCTTCTCAAGATGATATTCCCATTACTTCTGGGGACTTAGTCCAAACTCACAGAGAAGGAAAGGCACCCATGACCTCAGATGAAGAAGCTGTTGTAGCTAAAGGAGCTAAAATTGCTAGACATCAATCTGCAGTTCCTTCAGCCGACAGACTTGTGCTTAAAGATTCATGTCCTCAAGAAACTGATCTTCATCTCCTAGGTATTTCTTCTGAGGATGCGGCCAACTCAATTGCTCTTCAAAAGCAATTTGAGGAAGCCAACAGATCTCACTCCTTAGTTCCACGATCTGAGTCTGAAGAAACCAAAGAGAAAAGAATTAATTGGTTTAATGACTCAATTCTCCGACGCTACACTACTACTCGAATTGTCAATGCCAGAATCAAAGATCCTCAAAAATTGACCTATGATTCCAATCTGATTTATTTGATTATTGGTCGAGAAAACGGAGCAGTAAGGACAGAAAAGCTGACTTGGATCAATTCCTACGGTCTTACTGAGTGGATGGAGATCATCAAGTTTCTAAGTAAAAACAGAAACATGTACAAGGAATTTGTCTTGAGTCATCTGTATCGCCTTCTCAAAAAGATACAAATGATCAAGATGCATTACAAGCTGTCTTCCCTTCCACAACTCTCCTTTCTTAAGCAAGTATTAAGCAAAGCTGGCTCTTCTAAATCTGCTTCTGCCTCGAAGACCATCAAGAATCAAGATTCGCTTATTCAGAAATTATCAAAGGAAGGTAAGGCTCCTGATGTCTCACATCTTGATCTTACCCTTCCTTCAGATGTTTGTCATCCGGAAGGAACTATCTTGTCCGCTCCTGAACATGGAATATTCTTCTGGGACGCAAGGAGTTGCCTTCGATTCTTCCGAGCTTCTGAGATACCTATAGTTGATTCTCAGCTATTGCGCGTGATACTGAGTGTAATCAAAATTGGTGAAGCCGGAAGAGTCTTTTATACTTTGATCTCGGATGAACTGAAGAGAAGAGATGTTCTTGCAGTGGCTGATTCAGACGCTATGGAAGTAGATGATGATTGCTAGCTTTCCTATGTGACTTCTTCTTCTTGAACTATATTCTTCAATGTAAGTATTTAATTCATTGTCTAGTATAAATGCAATTTTATTTTTCAGTATTTACTTTAAATCTCTCATTCTTTATTTGTTTATTTTTGATTCATTATTTGTTTGTATATACGTTTATAGTTCAAAAAAAATCAAAAATCAAAAGAACCCAAAAAGAATATGTACATGGGTCACATAATTTATAAGTTCTTCTTCTCAAAGAATTTTAGAGTTTGTGTTTCTTGTATTTATTTCTTTCTAAGTGTTTGTGCCATCATCAAATAGGGGGAGATTGTTGGGTCACCTAT